ATCAATTACACTCATTCCCTTGTGCTTTGTGGGGTGCTATAATGCCTTTCTCACAAATGACAGAACTACCATCACAATCTGTCTGGGTTTGAATGCTTTGGAAGACAGCCCAATCAGGAAAAAANTGCATCTGGTACCCTTTCCTGGTATATCATCAGAGATGCGCTGGTCCATGACTCCTGCATTCTACTCAATTCCCTTATTGAGTCTGGTCCAGACTATGACTCAGCTACAACAGAGGTCAATGTGGAGTCTCGTGGTGCAGTAGTTAATGCGCTCGCCTTACAAATGAGAGGACCTGGGTTCGATTCCCAGGTGGAGCAAAATTCAAGTTTCCTTACTCCACATGCCTCTGCTTACCTAACAGCAAGTACGAACCCGGTTGTTAGACGATTCGCGGATTGGTTTCCGGGGGTAATAATCACTCCAAAAAAAAAATTGGTCACTCAATCCACAAGACTTTGTGGGACCCTGCTGTGCGCAATTGGCTGTCACATGTCGCCCACAAAAATATACAGTCATTCCACTTTACAATAAATTTTGTGAAGCGCTTTCAGATGTCTCAATGATCTGATAATGCACTATATCAAGTATTATTATTATTATTATTATTATTATGTATTTCCTTGTCAAATGATTCATACAGTATATAGCAAAGCTTCCTCCTTGATTACTCAATGAGCAGATAAAAATGATTGCAATTTGTTCCAAGTGGATCCAGATCTACTGAGCGTGGATTAAGTGGCAACTCAATGCAGGCAGTATAATGTGCTCACAAGTATCCACCCACTGATTTAGCTTTATTTACAGTTTATTGCTCATTGATGCTTTCTTGCAACTTGCCTATGACCTATTGCAATGAATCCTCATCCTCATTTGCATTCTCGGTCGATGATCATAATAATAATAATCCTTGCATTTGATACAGTGCCTTATGATGTTGTTGAAACATTTCAAAGCGCTTCACAGAATATTCTGTAAAGTGAATTGAATGTATATTTTGGGGGCAAAACACAGCTGTCAATTGCGCACAGAGTGTCCCACAAACAGTTGTGGATTGAGTAACCAAATTATTATTACTATTTATTTAATTTATTTTTAAGGGATTTTTACCCCTGGAAAATCGATCTGCCAATCGACTAAACTACCGGATGAAGGTGTGTAGATTTCTCAAACTCTTAAATAGAAAGTTTATAAATTGAACCCATTTCCATAAGGCTCAACCAACTCAAAATTCATAATTGTACAATTTTTGTTTTAAAATGCCTACATACGCCACCACCTCTTGCCATAGTGCAGATCTCTCTCAATAGACCCTTCTTTCCAGGCCATCTGTCCCTTTGGGTCCCTCATAGCACACTTTCCTTTCTTGTCCTTTTCCATCACATCTCTCTAAAATGGTATCAGCGTTCAACACATTGCTATATTGTACACTGAATCCCCTCCCTGAACTACTGAGAAAGTGTTGCACAATTCAAAAACTAGTAGTTTCTTTTTGCGTGTGAGTAATAATAATAATAATCCTTGCATTTGATATAGCGCCTAATCATGTCAATGAGACGTGTGAAAGCGCTTCACAGAATATACTGTAAAATCGATTGACTGTGCATTTTGTGGGCGAAACGCGGCAGCCAATTGCGCACAGCAGTAGGATGAAGAGTGAGAGAAAAGCGTTTCACAAATATTAGTCAGGAAATAACAAAAAAGAGATTAACAAATACATTACAAGATATACAGTATATAATGCACCTTTTACGAAGGGAGTTTGATATTGGGAGAATGTCTGACCAAAGTGCTTCACAAGACTCCCCATGACCAATTCTAAATTGCTGTTAGTGAATCCTGGTGAAAACTTTGCCTTTCTGACCTCTAACCCACACTCTGGTGTGCCCAAGCCTTGGCGCTTACCAACCCGTACTGTTTCGAGCAATGCTACTAGAAGTACTGGGAAAAGGCAATTAAATGGGACTGACTGGATTGCTCCTTAAAAGAGGCAGCACAGATACAATGGCCGAATGGCCTTCTGTGTTTTAAATTTCTATGCTTTATTTTCCATGGAGAGCCATTTCATTCACCCCGTAGAAATGGGAAATGTGTCATGTTGCAAGCTAAGTTGTGTAGGTCTTCTACATGGGGAAAAAGCATGGACGTACCAGGACTTCTACATTCTATGACACTACACTATGTTTGCCCACTGAACACACAGTCACTCTACAGTATGTGATGTGAAGCGCTTTGGATGTCCTCCCTACTGTACACCAAATATAACCATTGTTATTTTATTTATTAACACTGGATGAGTTTTATGTCATTTATGAGAATGAAGACAATTCAAAACCTGTGGAATGTATTCGTCGCAAATCTTATAAGCCAAACAATATGATTCAACATAGTTCTTGACGTTTCCTTAGCGAGTGATTCAATTTATTTTTACCTCTGTACTGTTTATCTCTATGGTGGGTGGGAACAAAACACAGTTAAAGTTTCCTCCAAAGAGCACTGTTCCTTCCATATGAAGATAGTATTCATGACTTGCTCGTGGGGCACATATATTTAACAAGGCAATAAGTTCCCTGCAATATGGCCTTTTTCTAAAGTACAATACTTCTATCAGCCTCTCCTGGCATTTAGCCAATAAATATAAATGGCAAGTTAGCTCTCCATTGCAGAATAGGATGGAATTAATCAGGTTTTCCATCTCTCATTAATAAAGAATAGTAAACAATTATTGCATTTGATGTCAGGAAGATTTCTTAAAGCATTTCACAGGACACCAGAAAACAGTTTGGTGCCTACATTTTGCAGGCAAACGCGATGTCCCACAAACAGCCATGTAATGGACGACCAATTCTATCTGAACAATTATTAGTCAGGATGACCAAGATAATTTAATTCTCTTTTCGAATAGTTCCATGGGATCTTTAATATCCACCTGAACAGGCAGACAGTTCAGCATCTTATCCAAAGAACGGCACCTTCAACAATACAGCACTGTCCCAGCACTACATTAGAATATCCTCCCAACATGAAAGGCACTTTACAAATGTAATTTTTTATTGTGGTTTGTAATGTCAGGTTACACAATGAGGTCAAATTCCTAATGTGGGCCTTGCACTTACAACCTTCTGACTCAATGATGAAACTGCTGCCATCTGAGCCAGGTTGATACCTAAAGTTCTTCAAAACTGTTGTTTTCAGCACAAAAACAATATCACAAGAAGAAATATGTAGTTTGATTTTCTTTTTCAATTTACATTTCATATGTTTAAAGTATGTCAGTTATGAAAGCATTTGTCTTGGAAAAATCCTTGAAGTTTCTGCTTAATAATAATAATAATCCTTGCATTAAATATATCAACTTATCACGTCTTCGAGACGTCTCAAAGTGCTTCATAGAATATACTATAAAGGGAATTGACTGTATATTTTGTGGATGAAATGACGTTCCAATCTGATGCTCAGTCCTGCCGAAGGGTGCTGCTTGTTTCATGTTCTGTAGCCTGATCAGTACAATTGTGATGTGTTCTTGCCATGCAGTTGCATTTAATTTTTGACCACAGTTTCTGTGGTCTGCCTAAGCTTGGCACACATTTAGGTCTGAAATCCTTAAGCTGGTGGTTGGTGCGATTAGAGTGAAAGAGCCTACAGCTCCATCCTGCCGTATAATGAATCTTGCAGATACGGTGTGTGATAGGAGGTGCCTTGTTCTCACAACAATTATTTTTTCTTTTCTATTTCCTGTGGTAAGTCAGTAGATCAGAAAATGTACACATGCATCAATGCCTTGCAATATCAGGTTGTCTGTGAGGCATGTCTTCTGGAAAATTTCTTCCTTGATTGAAGATTTAAAAGATGTTACAAATGCTTATTCACGGTCTAGTGGTGTTACTTCAGTGGTGCGCTAATGTTTTGTCTACAGTGCGGTCAGTGGAATCAGAAACATCTCCTAGGCTGCAGCATTCATAGTTTGCAAAAATAGAGCAGTAAACGGGAAATTATAGGACTTAGGGAGTACAATTTATAGGGAGTACAATTTCCAAGTTTGCGGGTGAAACGAAGCTAGAAAAAGTAATAAACAGTGAGGAAGATAGTAGCAGAATGCAAGGGGACATAGAACAGACCAGTAAAATGGGCAGACACGTGGCAGATGAAGTTTTATGTGGAGAAATGCGAAATGATGAATTTTGGGAGGAAGAATGAAGAGAGGCAATATAATGGTACAGTCTTAAAGGGGTGAAGGAACAGAGAGATCTGGGTGTTCGTATAAGTAAATCTTTGAAGGTGGCAGGACAGGTAGATAATGCTGTTAGAAAAGTATACAGGTACTAGGCTTTATAAATAGGGGCATTGAATACAAAAGTCAGGAAGTTATGATGAACCTTTCTTTATAAAACAGTGGTTAGGCCTCAGATAGAGTACTGTGTTCAATTCTGCACCACACTTTATTAAGGATGTCAAGGCTTTGGAGAGGGTGCAAAGGCGATTTACCAGGATGGTACCAGAAATGAGGGACTTCAGCTGCCACTGCCCTCCCAACTTCCACCTCCTCCCTACCCCCACCCCACACAATTACCCATCCGACAGTTACTCATCCCTCTTTCCACACCTTTGAATCTGTCACCTCCTCCTCTGTCTTCAACATGGTATATTTTATGGGTGAAATAGATGGTAATGAGTACGAATGTATGTAGATTTATCTGGAGCATTGAGCGCTGTGGAAGCCAGAGGGCACTGGCCTGGAACAGAGGTCAGATAACACCTTGCACTTACAGTGCAAAGGTTTTCCATTCACAAAATGATGGACTTCATACATCAATCAGTCATTCAGTGCTTGACATATGGTCCTTTATGTAATGTTTAAGTGTTGCTGATAAGCACTCCGAGACCCAACCCGCGTGAAGCGTGCTATGTAAGGTCAAGTTGTTGTTGTTGTTGATAAACTCGACTGATAAGAGCAGTGCGTGAAACAAACAAAACCCTAAAATGACATGTAGAAATACCTCTGCATTTTCCCACAGCCGGATGACATGGATCCATTTCAGGAAAGCCTGGAAGAACGAAGGTATCCCGGTGAGGTCACAATACCCAGTCCCAAGCTTAAATATGGGCAATGCAAGGACAACAACAAAAAAGATCTGATAACGTAAGCAAGTAGTGTGGTGTGAGCTACTTATTGAAACGTTGTTAATTTTGTTTCTTCTGAATATGCGTGCTCCCTTTATACATTTTCGAGCATGCTACATACGCAACATTTAATTTTTTGTAATCTCCGTTTTCCCCCACGGAATTGTTTGCTCTGTTAACGAATGAAAGTTTCGGGATTGAACTATGTTGGATTTTAAAATAAGTAAAAGCCATTTTGTTTAATTGCTTCACTTTGCAGTCTTTCCTTCGGATGCTTTAGCCAGCCGTTGCAAGGCAGTGAAGCTAAACTGGAAACAATGAAATATCAAATCAAAAGTTTTCAAAAACATAATTACTATTTTTGGCTGTTTTTTTGTTTGGTGACAGATGTCCAACACCAGGGTGTGATGCGAGTGGTCATGTCACGGGTAATTACGCCTCACATAGAAGGTGTGACTTCCTTTTTCATGCTGGATACTATCTTTGCAATTTATTGTTTTCAGCTTACCTGAACAAATGCTGTCAAGTGAAATGCCCCCCAAAAATCCTTATGTTAACCCTTTCAGAACTGACATTTTGCAGCATGTGTGCCACATAATTCTTTATGATAAACAAGTAAAATATTGCCGGTGAATGCAATGAAGAGTAAGAGTACTATAGAAAATAAATAATATTTACTTGCTGTTAATTTTCTATGGACAAATCGTAAACATTTCCCACTGTGTTGTATTTAGTGATGAGACGTTTCAATGTTTAAGCCGTGCAAAATGGCTGAGATTGTGCTGCCCAAAAAAGTTTGTGCTTCTTTTGTAATGTAGAAATTTGTTTCTGGCCTAAATAGCTTTTTATGGTAAAATAATACCCCACAAAAAAAGGTAGAGCAATGCATAAGCAATAAGCTATCATAGCTACGTTAGTTGAGCGAAAAAAATGGACCTTAAATATTCAAAGCTTAACAATTAGCATGAAATAATTGTCAATTCAGCACTGAATCTATTACTTCTCTGCTTTTGTCGGGTTGTGTCAAATGTGTATATGAGAGTTTGGATTGAATTGCCATGAACTTACTTGGGTGCCTTGCATATCTTACAGTCTCTCCGGCTGTCCACTGGCTGACAAAAGTATTCGAAGTATGATGGCTACCAGCTCTCAAGAACTCAAGTAAGAATGAGAAGGCATTATTATGTGTGCTGAAGTTTATGTTCCGTCATTGACTCCATTTGTACTTTTGTTTGCATTTTTTCTGCTTATGTAACGTGTGAGATGTGCTGATACACTGTTTCACATGCAGTGTGCAGTGACTCACATGTGCATTGAAACCTGATGCATTAATGTGGCGTGTTTCATTGACATGTGTGGTTCCAATTTGGTGTCAATATCACCACACTTCTGCGGTGGTAGTAATTTCATTTTCTTTCAACTAGGTTTTGCCGCCACAATTTTACGGAAACTATTTTGCTGCTGTGCGGTGTTTAAATGGTGTTAATTGTTTGTGTGTGACATTAGATGAGTGGTTCTGCAGGATTTCCTTCAAGATTGTGAATTACTTTATTATTTTATGTACAATATCCAGCCTGCTTTCATGAACAACACTCCAACTAAACATCTTCTCAAAATACAACGATGTTTACAATCCTTAGATTTCTTCCTTTGTTTCTTTCTTTGTTTCTTTCTTCCTTTCAAAAGGGACACTGGTATAAGAATCCTTTCTACATCAACTTAAATGTACATAGCACCCTTCACGCAGGTAGTGTCTTCTAAAGCTCATCTGCTCACACTCCCGACCCAAAGGAAACAAGATAATAATAATAATCTTTGAATTTGATATGGTGTCTTATCACATCTTTGAGACGTCTCAAAGCGCATCACAGAATGTATTGAAAAGTGGATTGATTGTGTATTTTGTGGGCGAAATAGCAGTGGTTCTAAAGAGAGATACTGTTAATTAAAGGAACCATATAAAGCTATTATAGAAATTTACAACACAAGAGGACGTTCACTCATAATGTCTGTCCTTGCTCTCTGAAGGAAATGTTTTATCCTGTTAGCTCCAAAGAACATGATGGGAGAGTTTGATATAAGTTTTCTTTGTTATAAATACAGTTATTGCAATTATATCACTTTAATATTTGCAGCTAAATTCACAGATTGGTTTTGCTGATGAATAAGTCTTCCATATATTAAAGGGAGGTGTCTGAATCCAAATTCTACCTGCTGACTAGCCTGGTTTGCTTAATTAATTTTAAACTTCTTGTTTTAAAAAATAATTACATATATTTGGTCATCTCAATTAAATACAATATCTGTTATGCATGTAAGAAAAAAAACACCCAATGTAAGGTTTAATCTTGTAGAAAATAATTCTGAAAGTTTGCATATAGTAATTAGGTATCGAAGTGACTCTTTCAATCTTCTGTTCACCATCTAAAAGGGAATTTCGGAGGAACTTCTTTTAATAATAATAGTAATAATAATCCTTGCATTTGATATAGCACTTTTCATGTCGGGAGGATGTCCCAAAGCACTTCACAGAACACACTGTAAAGTGAATTGACTGTATATTTGTGGGCGAATGTGGCAGCCAATTGCGCACAGCAATGTCCCACAAACAGTCGTAGATTGAAAATGACCAATTTATTATTGTTTTTGGTTTTGGAGGGATTATTATTAAGCTGTGTGTAGAGTAAGGAAACTTGCCCAAGGTTTCGCCCTGCCTGGAATTGAACTCAGGTCTCTCGCACACAGGTCGGTGAAAATGTGCAACTCACTACTGTGAGTTGAAGCAAAAAATAAAGAACATATTTAAGAGGAAACTTGATGCAAACACAAGTGAGAAGGTAATAGAGGGCTATAGGAGAGTGGATTAAGAGGGGTGAAGGCTCCTGAGGTGCACACACACCAGCACGGACACAGTTGGGCTGAATGACTTGTTTCCGTACTATATCATTCTATGTGATTCTGTATAATTTGATTTGTAAAATGTTTGTTCTTTGGCATTTCTAATCAATGTACTGCATTTCCATTGACAGGTGTCCGACCCCTGGGTGTGATGGATCTGGGCATATTACTGGAAACTATGCTTCTCATAGGAGGTAGGCGGGTAACTATTCACTATAGTCATCATTTCCTTTCATTAACAATGAATGTGCTTTCTTTTGTGATAGATGCAGGGACAGTAAATTGTCTATTTTGGTATTTTTCTTTGTCTTTGAATTTCTGAACTTGTGTTATTTCATTGACAAATACACATGTTGTTGACAATATTAACTTGTGGAACAGCATCAGTTCTGCACTGGCAAACTGTATATAAATGGTCTCAGAACATCCAGAGCTTCCACCAGGTAGGATTTTCTTCCAGCTAAAAAAAGATCAATTTTGCATCTCGTGTCACTTTTATCTAAATTAATGCTGAACTTCCACAGAGAAAAACACAAACATCTGTTGACTATTTTTAGTCATGTCACCAGTATCAAGCACACAGTGAAACATGGTTGTAGCTCAACATATGATTGTCAGCCGGATAAATGATCGAGTACATTTTGTGCTCAATGTCAGCTTAAACAGCAGTGTGCTACATGAATAGAGTACTGACGTCAAGAAACAGCTTGTTGCTTGTGTTGTATGTAAACCAGACCACATCTGATCTGTTGTGTAACTGGTAAAAACAAGACACGTTACCTGGTAGCAAGACCTAGTGTTTGCCTGACTCCTCTCAGGCCACCGTCTGTTAAACCATAAATAGAATGAACTTCAAATGGAATTATGTTTCAACGGGACTCAAATACCATGCACCAGTATGACAGTGTGCCAGGGCACAGATTACTGCTGTTAAAACTTGATGATTAGAGTAGCCATAATCAAAACTATGAATATGCAGAAAACAACTACGAAGTGAATTCCCAGGTGGATGTATTCTTTTACACAGTGAAGGAGATGTTTACACGGTCAGTACTGGGTCCGTGCTCATTTGCCTCAAAACAACACCTACTGCAAACATACTCCAACTCCCAAGAGTCTTTGAAGGAGGCTTGATTGACAGATTTTAATTTCATATTTCTCTACCAAGTTGTGTAACAGAAAGATCCCATGGAGCACTTCAATCATCCCAACATAAACTGGGAATGGCCAAGTGGGAAGGACTCTGAGCTTGTAAATGTAGTGCAATACTGTGTCAGTGACCCAAGCTATTCAGGGAGCAGTTGATATTTCACATATCCAGTGGCAGATTGACTTTCCAAAAGGGCTCGGAATTGGCATGTACAGTGGAGGCAATAACTCATGAGGAAGAGTTGATTCATAACATAAAACATTTGTAGCGTAAATGTGGTGTTTAAAAACTTTGTGGGGCTTAAATGGAACTTCTGAACTAGGCTACACTGGATAGTAAGCATCGGGAAGCATTCACGGGGCATTCAGGAAATATCCCGATTTTCCATATACCTCGTACATATCTGAATGCACATATTTCAATGAGGTGACAGTGACCGTAGCTTAATAACATTCAATTTGACTTGGGAAACAGCATAAGCACACTCTTGTTTACAACTTTAGGTGGGCCAACTTCAGGGTTATGAAGGCTGAGCTGAAAGACATAGACTGGGAGACATTACTTAAGGATAAATCAATTTAAGGTAAATGGATCAACCTGTAAAAAAAAATTGGGGAACAAAGGGGATGCAGCAGATGCAAAGTAACCAAAAATATATCAAAATGGATCAATAGGAAAATAAAAAGGGAACTGAAGAAAAAAAAGGAAGATATACAAAGCATTTTCTGAAAGATTTTTTGCCTAATTATGAAAGGATGAACTTTGAAAACAGTTGGAGAAGCTTAAATTGAACAATCTTAAAAAGGCATTTAAGAGGGAAGGAATTGCATTCAGATATATGAAATATTAAATCAGGCACTTCAAATTAAGCTGAGAAAGTAAATTATTCAAAAGTAAATTTAAAACAGATATCAGGAAGAACATAATTTAAAATAACGTACAATGCAAGGTGACAAAGTCAAAAACATGGAGCTTATTTCAAAATACAGTAAGGTGCCTGACAGGAGAGCTATTGCCATGCAGAGATAACCTTCAGAGGGCTCAATGACCTTTTCTCATCCCTGAAGTTTCTTATAAGTATCAACGTTTTAATTCAGTGAGTAATTTTTAACCAACAGGAATTCTGAGAAAGCAAATCAAAGATGTAATCAAGCATTGTACAACCTTTTCCTTGAACAATCTGACAAGTGTCTCTGGTCTCGTCTCCTCCAGTGTGTGTGTGTGTGTGTGTGTGTGTGCAATGTCATATGAACATTCCTCTTGTGTTGTTTGATGGTTGTGTCTGATTTTCATTTGGGGAAATTGATGCTGTCTATCAGAAATTTTTGCAAATGTGCCACAACATAAGTTTGAAATGAGACTGATTGTAATATATGTGCACTGTGCTGTGTAGTTATGTGAAGTGCAAAAGGAATAGAAAGAGAAAGAAGCATTTCATCAAGTGCATACCAAGTTGACTTGGGAGAGTTATTGTGGTATATAAAAATATAAGGTTTGGGCAACAAAAGAATATTCCATCCTCATAGAAAGCTGAGCAGGCATGATAAGACATGATCTAAATGTACATTGTAACCTCAGACTACAAAGGGAATTGGAATCAGTGTCAGATAAACTGGACAGAATAAAGGGGTTCTCAGAAGGAGAAGGTTCCTCAGGTGGAGAAGTTAATGAAGACAGAAGATATCCTCCCAGCTGTTTGTCCTGAAAGATGTAACTAGCCTGAGAGAACTGGATGTGGGAGGCAAAGGCACATCTGGAAATGCATGAAATGGTAAGCTTTCGTTCTGTTGTTTACAATGCTACTTCATGATCCAGTGTTTTCATTAGGTCAAACAGAATAGACATATTCATGGTGTTTTTCTCCAGTATTTCTGTAAACTATTTACAGTGGTTTGAAAAATTTCAAGTATACTTCTCTAAGCATTAATGTTTTAAATTGGCAAGAATTATTTATATTGGCATGAAATGTGCAGGATTTTGTAATGGGTTAGATGTGATATCACATTATGAAATGCTATAAATCCCATGGTAATAATGGTTACACTTTGCCATTGTATCTATAATAAAGGAACCACATGCCAAATCCTTCAGCAGAATTCTGGTGCAATAACAAACTTTAGGTTAGTTGGCCAGGACCTAGGGCAAACAGTGCCCAATTTAGTACTCCAGCTTCCTGTTTCTTATGTGCTATTAGATGATTGTAATGAATGTCACTTGACTATATAGTAATAGTTAATTGGGTCTTATCCACAGAGAGCCATGACTTCCTCCATCAACATGTCCTGCAAGACTACAATGGAACAAACAGAATGGTGCCTTGTGGAGATAAAACTTCACCAGAAGACACTGCATGAGCAAAACTCTGAGTGACCACAAAGGAGAAGATTTGAATAGAGCCCTCACATGTGCATTAGGGTCTTGGTATTTCATTTCAAGAATTAAGGGGAGCAGACCGTGGGGAAGCCTGCACACAAGCATTCACAAGTACCAGGCAAAGAGGCACATGTCTGATGTTCCTCGAACTCGAAAGGAGAATGGATCCTTTCCATCTCCACAGTGGCTTGTCTCAGTGTAGAGTCTAATCATATCCTGTATGAGTCCTGTAGTTCAGTAGTTAGAGCACTCGTAAGCGAGAAGACCTGAGTTTGATTCCCGGGTAGGACGAAAAGTTGGGCCAGTTTCCTTACTCCACACGCCCCTGTTCACCTTGCAGTGAGTAGGAACTTGATTATTAGTTGATTGGCGGATCGCTTTTATGGGGGTAATAATCCCTTCAAAATGAATAAATAATAATAATAATTTGGTCACTCAATCCACAACTGTTTGTGGGACACTGCGGTGTGCAATTGGCTGCTGAGTTTTGTCTACAAAATATAGTCAATTCACCTTACAGTATGTGTTGAGAAGCATTTTGACACATCTGAAGACGTGATAAGGTGTTATATATCAAATGCAAGGATTATTTTTATATTTTATCATGTCCCACCATGCTCCTCAGAAAGAGATTCCACCATCTCTTAAGAGAGTGACAATCCTCTTAAAACAGTAACAAATTACTCACAAGTTTTTGTTGAATGCCACAAATGCCACCAATGCCTTTTTTAATAGCCAGACTCAGGAAAGCTTCAATACACTGCACACATAGCCAAGCCTCCATAGGCTTGCCTTCCCCTTTTGACCTCTTTTGTTGTCGAGCAAGGAAATCAGAGAGTACAGCGCTGAATTTCAGTTCTGTTAATATTTGACAATAGACAACAACAACTTGCACTTATATACCACCCTCCATGCAGGGTAGCGTCTCAGAGCACTTAAACAAGACATAAATGGAGATGAATGAATAGACAAGACATGAATAGACGTTTAGAAACACAAAGAACAGCAAGCCTGCTGAGAGCTACAGGTGAAGGGAAGAAGGATTGCAAATAGCACAAGGCTTGTCCAACTCTTGGCATAGTTGGACAACTGCTGCTAGTTAGGGCTCTTCCAGCACCAGCAGGTAGGACTCACCTGCCACACTATCAGCAGACAATTCTCATCAACTGTTCAATCTCTGACGAAAGAGCCTTCAAAGTAAAAATAGCGGGAAAGCTTGCCGGATAACAATATCAACGTTGTAGGGTTTTTGGTCGTTAAACTCCAGCAGCATCTGAACGCATATTTTGGGGTCCCCAAGTGTTGGCTCTTGCCAACCTGTGCCTAATACTCTCTGGAATTAGGTAAGCAGGTTGCATCCTGATAGGGTGAGAGCGTGCACACCATTCCAGGCACAGAGAAATTTCCATGGGTAGGTGGCATACATATGTGGAATTCTCAGGCTGGTTTGAATACTCTTAAGCATGGTGGATTTCATTATGTGTTAGACACCTGCTCACCCATATTTTTATATATAAGGTCTGGCTCAGATTTGCTGTATTTCATAGATGACTAGTAATAAAACTTAGCTGGTATATATTTGCAAAAGGATTTATTGTTCTAGAGAAGTCATCGGATATAATATTAGCACCAGATTTCAACATCCTGTACCAATATCTTCCCCGATGACCT